TTTTTTCGAGGGTTAACTGCACTTGCGGGCCTCGGCCTCCCCCGGGGAGGGGAGGAGGGGGGAGGCGGAGAGAGTACCGCCGATAAAACGCAACAGTATTATCAAAGCCTACCGCCAAACAGCAGTCACCGCCATATATACAGTCGTCCCCGCTTTAAAGACACTCTTCTTAAGGAAACTCCCCGCTATAAAGACACATTTTTTCCCCAGAACATGGTGCCCCGCAGATGTACAATAATAAAGGGGGGTAGGGTTTCCACTATGCGCCCCCCCCCCAAAATTTTGCTGGGGCAGCAAATCTGTAAGGCATTGTAACATCGACAGCGGTCTGCTGCAGCCCGCACTACTGCGTGTGGGTATGGAGAGATTCCTCCCATCTGCTGGCGGGTCGTCAGCTGCCGGCTTGAGGCCATGTGGCGAACCCACGTGCCAGCAAAAGTCTCAACTCGTGTCAGCGGTTCACCAGTGCCCGTGCGGGCGATCCATGCACGCGTTTTGTGGTCGGGGCATCGGAGAGGAAGGCTACGGACAGCAGAGAGAGTGCTCGGATTGCCAGAAGAGCAAAGGTGGAGACCAGGCTGGCAGCAGCAGCAGTCCCATGGAAGTGGTCAAGAAGATGTCCTTGCCGGAGAGTGCCAAGGACTTGGACGCTAGGTCCATGCCGCGAGTGTTGTCGGACAACTTGTTCGTCGAGAGCACCTCCGGCCGCACTGAACAAGAAGTGCAGAGCGCAGTGAGCACGTGGCTTAGTGTAGAGGACGATGAAGAGGTCTTGAGGGAAGAGGTAGAACTCGAGATGGAAGAGGTAACGGAGAACATGTCAAGAGTACACGTCGAAGACGACGTGTCCAGTGAAGAGGAAGACCAGGACGGTAGGCAAGAGTCGTGCATGACATCTACGATTTCAGAGGCCGAGGTTCGCTCTCGTCTCGAGGATGTCCGCTCCTATTTGTACGCGAACGGAAGAGACGGCGAGTACAGCGAAACGGTGTACCTTCTTTCGAAGACTGTGCATTCGTTCACTCATGAAACTCAAGTCAAGCGAAGAACGAAGGAGGGGGGTGAGGTGCAGGCGACTCTTCGGGATGTGTGGGCGACGTAGTTTTTGGTGTTTGAGGACAACACACTTGGCAGCCCACATTCATTGTTTGGGATTTTTTTGCCTTTCTCGTGGAGTTACATTTTGGCATTTTTTGTTTTGTGTTTTTGCCTCGTGTTGACCTTTGGGAAAGAGCGGTGTTCTCTGTTCGGTGTGCTTGCCCGATTTTTTGTATGTTGTGGTCTGCGCTACCGACCGTTTCCTAGTGTCCCTCAGATCCCTCTAAGGGGTCGACTGGGTTTGTTTGGTCCCTATGTGGCAGGTAACTTGCGTGTATCGTATCAGAGCTAGTTCCAACAAACTGATGTGTCTCAGGTGTGTTCGCGATGTCACGGGCATGATGTTCACCGTGAGGACAACGCCTTGACAATAAGAAAAGCCTACAACAACACCAGCGCACACTGCCGTACACATTACAATAGGTCGTGCTGTACTCCTTCCCGCGTTTCGGTGGTGGAGGGAAATTCAAAAATGTGTACAGTATTGGAGTACAGCAGCAGTAGTGTTGCGGCCTTCAATTGACGTGTTGTCGCAGTTTTTAAGCAGCACAAATTCGTGGTCGCATTCCTGCTTCAAATGCGCGTATTTTGACACATGTTACACCTCCATTGACCCCGGGGACGGTGAGTTAGTGGCCCCGGAATCCTAAAGACACTTCCCCGCGTTAAAGACACTAAAAAAAAAAAACGCGGTGTGTCATTAAAGCGGGGTCGACTGTATGGCAATGCCGGCGAAAAATTACCGCCAACTTCTTGTTTTGCCGCCTCCGCCAAACTCGTCACCGCCAAAGAAGGCATTACCGCCAACCGCAAAAACAAACCGCCAAATAACATCATTACCGCCGAAAACAACGTGTCGGCCGAAGAAAAAATGATACCGCGACTACAGCAGCAGCAGCAGTAAACTCTCGCTAAAAATGGCGCGACGAATCCTTTGGTTGGTACAGTAAATACAAGTATGTATGTACTGTTTCCCCTTTTTTCTTCGTGCATGTTCTTGCATCATCCCTTGCCGTGGTGCTCGCTTTTCCCCACTCCGGAGGGAGCGTTGTAGGTACGTACTTCCTAACTATCCATGTATGTGTGTGTATGTGTATTTATTACTAGCATCGACCGCGCTAACCGGATCGACCAAGGAAAAGACGTCGTCAGTCTCAGTACGGTTGAAAACACGAAACACTTCTAAATGCCATTAACTGGGATTCCGTGAGGGGGCGGCACGGGGAAGACTGCCCTATTCTTCGGGGAAAAAGACAGAAACCGTAGCAACAGAAGAAAACTGCACGCGTCTACAAAGGCTGCTACCTTGCACTCGAGTTCGTTTTGGAGTGCTTTCACCAGAATCATCATTCTCCTGTGCTGTCAACTCCATCGTTCTCATTATCGTTTTGACAGCAACTTTTCAAAATTTTCCTTATCTGGCCCTGCGTCGTTTGTGGTGGGGAAGGTCATGTGGCTCGAAGCTCTTCCTCTCTTCCACGCCATGATTCCTTCCTCGACTGCTTTGTTCTATGTCTTGTCCTCCCCTCCCTGCCCTCTCCTCCTCCTTCATTGCTGCCAAACGAATTCCCTCATTGCCATCTACCGGTCGCCCCGGTGGCCTAGTGGTATCCTCGTAATCCACTAGTAGTCCCAGAGGTCGTGAGTTCGAATCCCCATGGGGTGAAAAATTTACGAAATGTGCGGGTGAAAGTGAAATATAGCTGACAAGCTCTCGTGAGTACCAGACTTCGACGTTAGCACCGTTGACGAGGGAAAGGGACGACTGGACCCTTCCCGCGNGTGGTATCCTCGTAATCCGCTAGTCGCAGAGGTCGTGAGTTCGGATCCGGATCCCCATGGGATGAAAAATTTACGAAACGTGCGGGTGAAAGCGAAAAATAGCTGACAAGCTCTCGTGAGTACCAAACTTCGACGTTAGCACCGGTGACGAGGGAAAGGGACGGCTGGACCTTACTCGCGATAAAAATAAAATTCAGCACGCACCGCAGGAGGAAGGTGGGGCATGAAAAGAAATAAAAAGAAGGAAAAAGCCCTGGTGTTTACCCCCTCCTGTGTGACCTTGGATGGTTGTAGTTGTACGAAAAAATACACTTAAAAGTGTAGTACTCTACATACGCTGAAAAGTGTAGTAGTACACGTCTCACCACGAAAAATGGGGGGACTGTCGCCACATCAAATAGGACGAAAACACATACACACATCGGCTAAGAACACATAGGTGGCTCCATCTATCTCACAGCCTACATCTGGCAGACAGTGCCTTCGACCCTTCGACGGCGGTGGTATCTCCTTCTCTCACGGAATCACAAATAAATGTTTGTTTGGACAACGTATGTGTACAACCTGGACTTCCTGCNCCTACATCTGGCAGACAGTGCCCTCGACCCTTCGACGGCGGTGGTATCTCCTTCTCTCACGGAATCACAAATAAATGTTTGTTTGGACAACGTATGTGTACAACCTGGACTTCCTGCTACTACTACACATTACAGTACTACTGCCGCGGCTGCGGATACTGGATTCCTGGACGTGTTCACCTGAAGGAAAGCCAAGAGAACCTGCGAGCAGGACTTGGCTCCCTCGTGGTTTCCAAGTGGCTTGCTAGGTTCGGGCGAGGGCATGTGTGGAGCTATGGCAGTGTAGACTATGTGTTGCTATTTTGTTTANACCTGAAGGAAAGCCAAGAGAACCTGCGAGCAGGACTTGGCTCCCTCGTGGTTTCCAAGTGGCTTGCTAGGTTCGGGCGAGGGCATGTGTGGAGCTATGGCAGTGTAGACTATGTGTTGCTATTTTGTTTAAGCCACCTAGCTGCTGACACGATGACTGTTGGATCTTGGGAGTGTACGGTTATCAAGTTGGGAGATGCAGCACACCACGATATCCTGGCTTCGGCTGGGCTTAAAATAACCCTTTTGCTGTCCTCCGCTCTTTGCATCAGTGGCTTCCTAGGTTCGGGCGAGGGCATGTGTGGAGCTATGGCAGTGTAGACTATGTGTTGCTATTTTGTTTAAGCCACCTAGCTGCTGACACGATGACTGTTGGATCTTGGGAGTGTACGGTTATCAAGTTGGGAGATGCAGCACACCACGATATCCTGGCTTCGGCTGGGCTTGAAATAACCCTTTTGCTGTCCTCCGCTCTTTGCATCAGTGGCTTCCTAGGTTCGAGCGAGGGCATTTGTGTAGCTGAGATGTGTGTCTTCGTGAAAGAACATGTAGAGAGAGTCGTATTGGCATTCGCATCAAGCGCATTGCGCATTTTTCGAATTTTGGCCCCCTTCCAGGGACCTTGATTTTTATCCGCTAGCACTGACGTCTTTTAATTGTGTTTGTCTATTTACGCCACCGGTGGCGCAATTTCTTATATGCGCCACCGCTCTTATCTCCGCCCACAGAGCTTCAATTGGCACAAACTGACTTGTGTTGTGTAGCTATGACCCACAGCAATCATGCAAGCCATCGGGAACGTGCATCCGGCCAGTAGGTGCCGAGATATGCCCTCCCACGGGGGTACTTAAGCTTATATGCGCCACCGCCCTACGGTGGCACTGTACCCCCGTGGGAGGGCATATCTCGGCATCTACTGGTCGGATGGACGTCCCAGATGGCTTGAACGATGGCTATGGACGTCCGTCGACCAGCGCAATTTGTTTGACGTCGATTGGAGCTTTGGCCACGGAGTTACGGTGGAATATGTGGTTGGTGCCCGCCTTTTGATGCCGAGCCCCCTTTTTCGAGCATAACTTTCCAACGACCGAAATTGCGCCACCGGTGGCGTAAATAGACAAACGCCACCGGTGGCGTAAATAGACAAACCCCTCTCTAAATCTCAACTGAGAGAACTACCAGCCCCTAGTAGTGGGTAAAGCCCACTGCGACCTGGGCCTCCCCCCAACGAGGGAAGCCTGTGTCCTTACCATGCTGCTTTACGACATTCTCTTCGAACGACAGGGAACTTAATTTATTGGTAAACACACAGGACGACTGGTTATCGCTCTAGGTACACCACTTTGCTGTTGTGATTGCAGCTTCCAGCAGTCATGTACGTTGAGAACCGACGTACAACGAGAGAACACAGCTGTGGACCGCACAAGAGAGGGGCGAAGAAACCAGCTCCTTCTTGATTGCCTAACACCTGTCTGTGTGACCCTGGCTGGTGCGTCCATAGATTCAACCAAAAGGTCGAAAATTGTCGGGTACCAAACTCCTAACAAGTTGGGCCTAAGAATTTATGTTCGTCCTGACAGAGTGATGTGGTGTGTTTTTGTGTTCTTGTGGTTGTGTGAAAGAGAGATGGGAGAGCTGGCCATAATATCCGATCTCGGAACGCATATGGTTTAATGGAGGTGAAGCCGTGGGCGGTAGCTTGCTCCTACAGATAGATGAAGGTTCTGCCGTTGACACGCTTGTCCACGACCACGTTGAGATGGGAAAGCTGCTTGTTATTGCTGAGAGACGATCAGCAAGGGTCTGAGATGAAGTGAGGATCCAACTTTATTTCAGGGGCTACACAGAGTAGACAATTTCTAAGGGGGTATAGGGGTCNTAGAGATAGATGAAGGTTCTGTCGTTGACACGCTTGTCCACGACCACGTTGAGATGGGAAAGCTGCTTGTTATTGCTGAGAGACGATCAGCAAGGGTCTGAGATGAAGTGAGGATCCAACTTTATTTCAGGGGCTACACAGAGTAGACAATTTCTAAGGGGGTATAGGGGTCAGAAGGGTTTACCTCCTGACCGACCCGCATCCTATCAACAATAAGATGAACCCTATTCATGCTAGCAGCCACACTCCTTAACATTAGCCATCCCTGAATATCACATATGAAGATTCTATTCTCAAATCAATGCTCCAATCCTAAAAGCTATATAGTAAGATTTAGCTGAATATTTATGATCGTGAATCGAAAATTTGACTCTTCACAAAACATCCAAAAGGAGGGTGCGTCGTAGAAATATCCCGAATCAACCCCCCACACCATCATTGAGACGAAGAATGCGAACGGTCACAAGACGGAACATTGACATCTCAATGACAACGCTTGAAGGGATAAAGCTACGTAGAATATAAATATTGCTGCAGAGCACGCTACTATCATCGTGAACAGACGACGACAGAGGAAACAAAATCAATGTCCAAACGCCACACACCACTCTTTTACGCCCACCCGCGCGTATCACCACTGGAGGAATGAGGGCGACTACCCGAGAATCCAAAATACGGTGACGAAACTCAAAACCCGAACAAATTTCCGAACGAAGACGGCCTTTGATACTGGACGCGACGCAAAGGGAAAACTCAATGCAATCTAGGACAACGTCAACGAAGGGCAGGAGAAAAGCACGACAGGCAAAGGCACGGAGAACGATTGCCAGCGTGCCAGGGTACCCAACTCATCTAAAGAGATGGCAAGGGCAAGACCTAATGAGGATCAAGGACGCAAAGCACAAACGATTAATGCAAAATAGGCGGTTTGACTAAGTGCGCCATGGCTCGCTGGCGATACGCATCCTACAAAGACATAACACACAGAAAAGCCGTAGTGATACACAAAACAGGGCGACGACTCAGGGGCACGACGGTGATGAAGACGTCGCCCGAAGGTGGCGATGATGGAGACGATGCAGAACGACGTGTGGGTGACGACGAAAATCCACGGGATCAGGCGACGCAACGGGATGGAAACCCGAAGCAATAAGCATGTGCGACACTTGTGCGGCACGATGGAGCTAAAACTAAAAAACAAAAACAAACACATTAGATAGTTGGCAAGCAAGCAAACGAGGGAACGCGAGGAAGTCGGTGTCCAAGTGTCCAGAGGCAAATAACACCGACGAAACCTTGGGGAACTCTTTGTCCAAGTGTTCAGAGGCAAATAACACCGACGAAGCTTGGGGAACTCTTTTTCCAAGTGTTCAGAGGCAAACAACACCGACGAAACTGCGGAGGGAGCCCGTCGAAAGAACCAATGACCAACAACCAAAAAGGTATGGAAAGACGAGAGAAAACGCACATCCAGGTCGCGGTAGTTCACTGATTCAGATGAATGCAGGCAACAAGGAAGAATGATCACTCGACATTGCGTGTCTTGAGGCGGCGGTGCTCCAGCGTCCAAAACAAAAATAAGCCAATAATAGAACAGAGACAAGACAGAAAAAAAAAGACAAAAACTGATTGTGAAAGAAAAAGAAAAAAATCCCAACGCCGGCGAGAAGGAGGGCATAAAAAACCAAAATAGGCCGACTTGTATACGAAAATGACGATGCCAAGAAGAAATGTTGGGAACAGCCAACGGTAAGGAGTCAGCAAGGAGCGGAGTGCGACCACGTTTGTCGCCCAGAGGGCGCGAACGATGTTTCTCTAAACACCATGATCCACAGACGGCGTCCAAGGCGGTGAGTATAAGTGCGCAGGCAGAGGGAGAACGCTTGGGCCCGGGTCATCCAAGAATCGAACGATGTACGACGAGCCTTCCTGATGAGCACCAATACGTCCGGTCCACCACAATCCATCACGGGCCTTGTACCACAGTCGCGCGTCAACAGGCAGGAGCGAACTGCTGAAACGACGAAGTCAAGTCGCGTGAAGCACAAGATCAGCCCCAGGAGGCAAATAGCGTTCTTCACGATTCCGGGCTAGCTCCCGCTGCGCCGCGCGAGTTCAAGCCACTCGATATGTACGGTTACCCTGCTTGCTTTGGCAGACCTCCCGGGACCAGTACAAGAGGATGTGTCGACGAAATTGGTCAAGGTCGGATTCCCGTTCCCATGAAGGAGTGANGCCCCAGGAGGCAAATAGCGTTCTTCACGATTCCGGGCTAGCTCCCGCTGCGCCGCGCGAGTTCAAGCCACTCGATATGTACGGTTACCCTGCTTGCTTTGGCAGACCTCCCGGGACCAGTACAAGAGGATGTGTCGACGAAATTGGTCAAGGTCGGATTCCCGTTCCCATGAAGGAGTGATTAGGCCTAACCAATGCGTCTGGTACAGGACAGCGAGAACGCCGCTACGGCCCCGCACCAGTTGATGTCCCGAGATGTAGTCGACCTCGAGACGCCCGATAGGCACCGACACATCGTCCGCGGTGACGTGGAACGATGGACACTTATTTCCGAAAGTGTGCAGAAAACAACGCAAAAGCTCGGCGGGTAGAGATTGCGGCAAGTCGTCCGTCTCGTACGGATTGCGACAGGGCTTGCAACAAAGGACAGACACGCGACATCGAGCCGCTGGGCCGGAAAGATCGGAAGGCAGGTCCAGGTAGAGAAGTTTACGCGCCAACGGGCTGCCGTCCGGAGTGGCGTCGGCAGAAGCGGGACCCACCGCGAGAACTTTGCAGGGCCCCGTCCAGGAAAGTGCGAATTTGCCCTTGAGCACCTGTTGGTCCGTGTCCTTCTGCACACTCTGTCGAATCGTAGCAGCCGTGTTGTGCACCCAAGCCCACCCGCCCACGGTAAACTGAAGGAGCTTGTGAATGGTGTCCAGCAGGGATGAATTGCGGCGTTCGACTCGCGAAATCTTGAGGGCGTTGTACTCACGGACAAGTTC